AAAACCCAAAAAAAAAAAAAAAACCATAAATACGATCATAAACTAGAACTGGGTCTAATAGTACCTTATCAAACTGGACAAGGACCTGGATAGCGAGCTCGGGGCTGAGGGTACCGTTTTGAACCATCTCATCCAGGGTCTCTGTCAAGCACATGCCGATCGTCGACCTCCGGTACAGCTCGAACGTCGCCATAAGTCACCGATCTGCCATACGATTCACAGTAAATCTCAAATCTCGAATACAAACACCAAATGATACTATCACAAAAACGGAAAGTGATGAATTTCAAGCAGAATTGAAATCAAATTCAGAGAATCGAGGAGAGAAATTACGAATTGGAGGCTACGCTGAATGAGTTCGACGGTGCGAGTAAACGTTTGCTCTGAAGGGAATTTTTTTTTGGGCGGAGGGAATTTGGGGCCTTTTATACCCTAATTTTTGGAGATGGAGATATATATACCAGCGACAGATTGAGAAAATGAAATTACTACTCTGACCTCGCTTGTTCATTTTTATGGACCTTTGTAAGTCTAGGCTCTAGGGCCCAGGCGTCATTTATCAAATAGATCTGGACCAAGCTCGGCGGCAGGCTTTGGGCCTGTTTCATTTATGGATTAGACCTAGTCTAGAAGCTAGAGCACCAGCCTTATTATTCGATAGATCCTGGACCAGCGCTCAGTGCAATTGAGCCGAGAGATTAGAAAATTGGAATAACTCCTAAGTTAACCCCTAAAATTATTTTTCTTCTCAATCCAGCCCTGAACCTTTTTTTTTTAATCTTGGGTTAAACAATGAAAGTCAATTATCATCCATTCCTTAACTGGTTAACTTGGCTCTGCTTACATATCATGCAACTTAAATATAAAATCTCTTATTTTTATTAAATAAAATTAATGCATAACAAGTTAAATCTTTAACAACCTAATAAAGTTGCAAAAGTTGATAATGTAAATAATTAAGGTTGAGTCTTTTTAAATTTTTTTAAAACTTTTTACTTCAAAAAAAGGTTTAAAATGTCAAAAAAATATATAAAAAAAGCACAAAATTGAAAATTTAAGATTTACACTACACATCTTACAAAACTTGAAAAATCAAAATGCTAGAAAAGTGGTCATAATGTGTCATTTCGTTAACTGAAATAGCCCTTCTTCAACCCATGGCATTTGGGTCGAGTTTGCTTGGCAAGTCACCTACAGAGTTCTAATGCATGAGGGCACATCCCATCATCGTTTCGACTACAGCTGTAGTATCAAACTCATCGGGATCACCTAAGGAAGTTTCTGGTTGCTTTTCTTGGATCATAACACGATTATATTGCAGATTTAAGACAAGCTAATTGGTCTTAGTCAACCATTGCCAAGTTGAGTGAAAAAAGTGGATGA